AAATTTTGCGATCGACAAAAATAGAAATTTGTTGATTGAAGAACGATCGTTAATTTTCAGTGTGTAATAAATTTCACCATCAATTGAATATCACCTGCTAAAACTACGATAAAAATAAATTGAGTGTCAATGTCCATTCGTGACGTTTAATTTCTGATGATAAACATCATATTAATACCCTTTCTGCGTGAACTAGCAGCGAAAACGAGAAAACAAGAATGCAAAAATAAATGGAAACATATGTATCAATGTCGTGGCGTTTTCATTCGATGCAACTGATATTGATTTACCGTCATGCACACTCTGACAATCAAATTAAAAATAGTTTTTATTGCCGACAAGAATTTATGGTGTAATTTTTAATTTTTTCTCCTTTTTTTCTCTAGATTAATATAAATTTCTATCAATTCGTAATGCAGCCCACATGTGTAGGATGACTTCATCGATTAATTAGACAAAACGTTTACAGAGTGGTATATAAATTGTACTTAGTGTTTAGTTTGATAGCTAATAGTCTAAGTAAAAGTCTAGGCAAACACTCTATGCCAGCCTACATGCATTAAAACATTAAGTCTTTGTTTCGTCGTGCGGCCGACCGCCAATTCGGAATTTAATGATTCATTGAACGTGTGCATTAGCATTATGCGAGTAAAGTTGAGTAATTACTAGCATGCCGCCCCCGCGCGCGCACTGAACCCAGCGCGCCAAGTTGTCGGCTCAACAGAGCGCAAAACCGCTAGGAATTAATGTCTTTATAACTATTTAATTAATACGTATAAACTTGGGCAAATTAATTCACTAAAAACCTGTTAGGAGATAAGTTTTCCTCTTGGTGAATCAAGAAAAACATTAAAAACAAGAAAATATTTTGGTTATTCTCTGTTTGAAGCCATAGATAAAGCAATACTCAATTCTTATCTGAAGTTGTCTTCGCGCAAAAGTCGTGCCAAACTATCGATATCGAAATATCGAGCAACATCGACCACGACACTCAAATCCCACCAAAACTTTCGCGCGGCTGTCGATGGAGAAAAAGAACGCGATTGCCCCGTGGTACGTGCATCCTGTGAGGACGAACGTGATAAACCGTAATAGATGTTCGCCCATTTGTGCCGGATTTTCCGTCTTCGCCATCCGTCGCAGATCGCAAACACACATACAAGTCTCTACCTGATACCCTCCCCACATACTAGCATCATTCCCATACCACCCCACGTACACTTTATTATGACGGCTGCCGGTTGCCTGCCAGGCGAATATCGGCACCGAAAAATACAAGCAGCGTGGGGACGAGTCGAGTTTTATGGGCACTATTCTTAAATGATAACTGGGTCAGATGTTATCCCAGAGTGCATTCGAACACGCCCGAAAACACGCACGAGCAGACGAGAAGAAGCCGAAACCGAAAGCTTATCTAGTGAAGAGTATTGTCGAATAAAACGGTCTAATGCTTTTATTCAAGTTGGAGGAAATATATGTTTGGTGTTTTGGATTCGAAGAGCAATTTATTTTATTGTAAAATATTTCTATTTTTTTAAATTTTAATTAAAATTCAAGCGACCTTCTAAAATTTTCAATTTTAAAATCGAAAAATGTTAATATTTGACAGTTGCAAACGACTGCATAACTAATTTACTGCACAAAGTTGAAAATTTACCATCGTTATTGTAAATTGCCTAGACATCTGATCAAACATCGTAAAAGTTATTAACAAGTCAATAAAATTTTAAAGTAAACGACACGAACGTGACTGAGAATATTTAAAATTTGACGAAAATCATTTTAAAATGACCATAAAAGTGATCCTAACAAAATATAAAATGTTTCCTAAACTATTTCGACTTAAATCAATTCTCGGAAATCTCTATCTTTATGCACATTTTATATGAATCACGAAAGATAAGATATTAAACTATTTGCTTAAATTTTCAAAAAAACCCACACATTATCTCAATATAAATACCGAATAAAAATTTATCAAAGCAGCAATTTCAAGATTCTTCCCGATTTTCACATCTGACGCGCTGAGATAGTCGCCGTTTATGCATCCAAGTGCGTTCTGGTCTAGGCAAAGCGGCACGGATATAAAGGCCGGCTTTGTCTCTTCCTGCGCGCTCGTCGAATCTGAACGGATCTACAAACGTCGCGGCTCACAAAGCATACACTCACACACACTTACATACATACATACATGCACTCAGTGGCGGTGAGAAGCGTCTAGGATAAAGCATTTTATTTCGTGATAAACGCGCGCGCGTATGAAACAGCCCCGGCTGAGCGCGCGCATGTAAATTCTTTTAGCGGCGCGCCGCGACAGCGAATCGTCCCACGAACACGCGCGCCTGAATTCTATTTATTCTTATTATCTCTTCATACTTCATATACTTGATATTCCAGGCGCACGCAATCAGAGATAGACGCGTCAACTGTGCAAGCAACCGCGACAAAAAAGAAACCGTCAGAGCCCAGTGATGTGAATACGAAAAATAAATGTCTTGAAATAACTACACAAATCAAAAATCAATTTTTAATTTAAGCATTGAAAAGAAAATTTTAGTTTTAGAGCACGAAAAAAATTGTAAATCACGAAAATGTGTTTATTTTAATATAAAGTAGCTTAACTAATTATTGTCTTGCCTAATTCCTGTCAATTCCGCCAAAAACATTCCTAATTTCGAATTATATAACTAAAACAATGATTAAATCTTCATAACAATTTTCATCCCTTATTTTCCACCCATCAAGTTAAATTTTTACAACAAAAAGTAGCTTATTTTATTTTCCATGATCAAAACGATCCCAAAACCAAAATTTATCCCAATTATTCGAATGGTTTCCCCGTGAAAGCGTGACAAATAAACAAACTGACATTTCACATTTGCAAAATGTATTACCAAGCAAAACCGAAAATACAATTTGCGGCTTTTCAGCACACACATTAATACCTACATCAAAGGCGTAAAATTACACACAAATATTGCCACATTCCGCACATCCTCCGCCATAAAATTATGCAATAACACACACAAACGTTGCCGTTGTTGCTAATATAGTATGAGTATAATAGTATGACAAAGCACGAAGAAATTTAAAATATGCTAAAATATAAATAAATAAAAGAAATAGAAACACTCACTATAACATTTATTACAAAACGCGTTGACTATTTTGTTGAAATGTTCAAATCTTAAAATCAAAACAACTCCGCGCGATGTTCTTTTATTCTACTTATTCTGCACTATTGGCACTATTCTGCCGCAAAGTCACCGATAGAAGAATGTGTAAAGTAAACAAACAACTGATAAGACGACCGCGTCACGTACACACCACGTTTTCGGGTATGCAAAACTCAATTACTCGAACTTACGCAAAAAGTACTGATTTCAAGAAAAATCTAATTATAATTAATTAATGTACGCGATTCGCTTTACAAAATGAGCCAGGTTCGCGGTTTCAACCGTTAAAATTGCGTTTCTTTCGCGGCGATGAGCAAACCCCTATCTAATACCATGTAAAAAATACACGATGCACACAAATTTATATAAATCATTAATATTTTAAGTTAATTTGAAAAAAATTAATATATACTGCAAGTGACTCACTTGTGATGGTAATGTGCAATGATTTTCACATGGTAACGACACTTTTCTGCAGATTTTGTGAATTTTCAGCAAATTTTTAGTGGAGCTGCACGCTGCAACGACTGATTGTACTGAGTGTACGATGCGCGAGATTAAGCAGTGTTGGTCTTCCCCTGACATGCGCGCGAAGAACATCAGGTGATATGACGTAGGCATTGATAAACCCGAATGCGAAAAGGTGTAAACAACCCAAAATACAGACATTCAAGTCAATGTATTCTTTCTCACTTTCTAACGCGTCTTAAATACACGGCGCAAGTCTTTGTTACCACTTATAATTCGCTGCAAAAATAAGAATGCTGAATGAAATTGGAATTAAAAATATAACACTTAATTTAATTTTAGAAATTTATATTAACGATCAACGCGCAATTTAAAGAAAAATATAATATTGCAAGATTTGCAAATGTAATATCAGCTGAAGTGAATAACTTTGGATGAACCGGGCTCACCTGTTTGATGCATCGAATGAAAATCAAATGATTTAAGTAGTGAACAGCTGTAAAAGTTGTCAATTTTTATATCAATTTTATTAAAATCAATATTTTGCGTGCGCAAAATGCACGCTCGACTATCAAATCTATTTCAATGCCGCATCTACCGTGTGAAATCACATGGACACGGATGTACACACTCTACTACCACCAAACAATCTCCCTGCTGTAAATAAACTTGAGCTGCGCCATCACCTGATTTAATTTATTGCAAATACTGCATCCTAGTGTCATCTAGAATCCATTTAGAATGTTGACATCACAAAAACTCGTTTTTTGCATCAAACAAAACATCAACCACGAAAATACTATCGCGCACGCACGCCTCAAGTCACAACTCAACGCGTTCACTTCGCTATAGTTTACTGCAACATTTATTGTTGTTACATCGTAAAAACAAATAATTTATATCGCAATCATAACGCGGTCGGTGTGTGCGATCAACTCCAAAGAAACTACAAGTAACCTTATCTCGACTCTTGTCTTTGCTAAACCAAACTAACAACAACAACACTTAAACGCCTGTAAAAACCGGCTCATAAAACGTGCACTCCCAACTAAAACTAAAGCAGCAGGAGGAATTTGCGCACCCGAATAAAATCCCAAGGAGATATAATTTCATGTGTTGCGGGACAGCTTATGAGCAATTCGACAACATGCCAGAAAGATGGCCGGAAGTGCAATTCAAAGTCTTACACAAACCTAAAATATTGGCTTTATACGAGCAAGAGGCAGATGTGCTGCATATTAGGCGGCAGGTGGTTCAACACTTAAAAACAATTCGCGTTCACAACATAAATAAATAAATGCGAATAAACTAAATTTATTCATTTTAATAATATAGTCATCTACTGTATAAAATTACCTTTTTCAATGATGTCCTACTTGTATCTCGCACCGTTTCTTAATCTTCCTCCCAACTTGATTTTTTTGTTGTTGCTCGGCGAGGTCGAAGCGAAAACACTTCCTTTGCACGTTTGCAGATTTACAGTTTCATTTACTTTTTGCTATGCGAATTCGCTACCACATATTTCTCAACACATCCACTCAAAGATGAACAACAGCAACAACTAGCCGTAGCACGCAGGCAAGCGCACACACAAACAAAAGTACCGTAAAAGTAGGTACACTTTTATACGATTACAAGTCCGCTGTTGAAAATATTATAGGTCAAAACTTTTACGCAGCTATCTATGCGAGTGTTCTACATAAACAAACTGCACAATTCCGCACGGTGTGATATCACCCACAGAAAACAAACACCACAACTGCTTTCTTCACTCTTCCACACAACAACAACACTCAACACACGAGATTCAAACTATCGACACGCTAATCATGCACGACACTTCTTGTTCTTGTTGTTGATTAGTTTTCCGCGAATGGAATCTCATTGTTGTAATTGCGTCGCGGCGTTAACGACGATGACTACGAGTGCGTTTGCGTTTATTTATGCCGATATAATGCACACCGATTGTTGTGTTATCAATGCGATTAGATTACAAACAGGCAATGTGTGTGTGTTTATGCTTGACGCGATCTAGCACTGGCACTAGCACAACACCACGCTCCGTGTACCGCTCGACGCTACCTCCAGCACACGAGTGAATGAATCATGATGAGGTAATGGCAGAGCTATGAGCGGCCGCGGTGCGCGGCGTGCGCGTCGTGTGCGTTGTGGAGGGATTGCGCGCAGCGCGACATAAACAAACCTGCTGCTTCAGGTTCGGGAGCGCGCGGCGAACACAGTTCAAAACCGTTCTTGTTCTCGTTCTCGCGCGCAGTGAGTGTGTATGTGTGTGTGCGACGAGCGCAATCGGCCTTTTTCTACCAATTATCGCTGCAATTCGCTCATCCTTCTCCCTTCGGGGGCTTTGTGCACACAGCAGGACGCGCGCGTGGACGGAGGGTAACATCGCGCATGCTTTACGACCACGGCGGGGGGACGCGCAGCCGAGCCGAGCCGGCAAGTCCCCGATGTTAGTTAGGTTCCAGAGGTGCACGCCGCAACGAATTGAAATAGAAGGGCTGTGATGGTGTGCCGCGCTCCTGCTGCAACGCAACACACAACACAACACAAGGGGGCTGTGTGCATGTGGCTGTGCCTATTTTAGGACAGATTATGTTTTGACTGACTGCACTCGCCGGGCGCATTTAATACGCTTGCCCCTGCTGCACACCACATTCAACGCCTTAAAGTCAAATCCTCCCCGTGGATAATACTTCGGCTGTGCTTGTATTATCGCATGTTGCAAGCAAGCGCTTGAAACTTGCGACGCTTATAAATTGATAGATTTACGTGCATGACCAACTCTTGCATCATGGGTAATTACCGGAGGGCGCTTTCTAATTAGTACGATGCGTATGTAAGTAAATTATCGTGAGAAAAAGACGAGTCACGTGTTAAGAATGCGTGAAATGTGAAAAAGATGCAACCAAACACCGCGCATCCTTTCTATGATTATAATTGGGCTTAATATAGCTGGAAATTCAACCTTGAACTATAAATAAATTAATTTCCCGGATATTCCCTGCGTAATAAAAGCAATATAAAATATTTACATGCCTCAAATTACTTTGTGTAATTAAATTTTATATAAAAAATCAATATTTGTAATTTATTTAATGAAAAAGTGACTTTCACGGTAAATAAATGTAAAAATAAACAATTTACGATTAATAATACACAACAGTTTAATTTCATCAAGAGATTAATTAATTCGCGTTATTAATATCGAACAAACACTTCCACGAACAGTTGTGTTGAATGTTTATATGGTGGTAACGCAATTCGTAAAAGGAGTAATGTCAATGTCAGTTATAATAATGATAATAAACGTTACGTAAATATAAACACACAAAATACCGTAATACTGCTTCCACTTTTTCCACGTCCACAATAATAACATAAATTTATATAATACACAATAATAAAAATAATAATAAAGCAGCTGATTCAAGGTCAATTTTGCATTTTGGCCAATTTCTTGATTTATTTTATGCGATTTTATTAATATACCAGCTTTTATCGGCGACTTGGTCTAGGTAGTGTTTAATAAAAATGTAATTCGTGTTTACTCTCTTGTTCTAGACATAGTAGATGTCAATTCTATCAATAAGATTCGCAATTTTATTTTAAACAAATTAATTATATAAAGAAATGTTAACAATGCACTTCAGCGCGCCATCTCGGATTCAACTGTTTAACTATAACTATGATTGAATTCCAATGCCAACTTTTATCTTATAGAAAAGGCGGTTTTTAGGGTTTTCCCGGCAATTATTCGAATTTTTCTCGCTGCAAAAACCATCATTGGACTTAAACGAACATTAAAAAAAAAAGGTTTGGCCAAATTAGCCTAAGCGTTGTTGAGTTATGCGCTTACCAACAAATTTTGCGATTCATTTTTATATTATAGAAAACAGAATACACAATAATAAAAAATAATAATAAAGCAGCTGATCCAAGGTCAATTTTGCTGTTTGCAGTCGAATATCAAAAGATTATACTTAAGTGACCAATTTCTTGATTTATTTCATGCGATTTTATAAATATATTAGCATTCAATCGTAAATTGAGAACAAAAGCAAGAAAATTACCTTTGGCATTTATGCTATAAGCTGTAAATACGATAATAACTGCCAGTTATTTGTGTATATCCATTCAGAAGTCAAGAAACGACCATTGTACGTAAGTGATTTATAAATAATAAATGCGGCGATACAAATAGCAAGAAATCGACAATAAAATAAACAAGATATTTTATTCCGATTAGTCATTTCCTTTAAGCTAAGATTAACTTTAAAAATAAATAAATATACCGGTCTAGTCATACCGCGACATCAAGAATATTTATATTTAAACAAGATAACAATTTATTACGCAAATATATGTGCAATGTTTTTATCATATCATATTTCAGCTGTGAATTAAAATTTTATTTTCACGTCTTTTGTACTCGTAGATTGGTAAGTACGAGTAGTAACTGTTGGTTTACTTCTTGGCAGACACATAAAATTTTAACGATTGCATAAAACATGCCAACTTAAACAGACAATAACTACAATTTCGAATTAAAAAAAAACTAATACGAAACTAGTTAAACCTCCATATCAAAGTAAGATAATCATTTTATCAGAATTAAAGTAAGGTAATAACAAGTGCCACTGCACTTTATTTCTATTAACGATTGAGTGTTGAAAATATAGCAACGATACTATGTAGGAGTAATGTTACACTATAGTTGCACTATAGAGTAATGTTGGAAAGGGACATTATGACCTGAGGTACCCTCAGTACTTTGGGTTGTCAGCGGTCATCGTCAGTGTCATCTGTCTACCCGAGACGATCGGTCTACCTTTTTGCATTGTCATATTAATAACCAGTTTTCTTGCTTATTACATTTCAAGTGTATATTAACTCATCAATAAACATAATAAACTGTATCAAATATTATTCTTTCTAAAACCTTAATATTATATTGTCTAAGCTTCCAGCCTCCAATTCCAATATTGAGTAATTACACGTGTGGTAGACATGATTAAGAAATAGTGTAAACTCCGGCTATACTTTTTTACATTCTTACTGATATGAAATTCTGAGAAAACGAAAAAAGCAAAGAGATATGCACGTAAAAATATGGCGAAAAACAAAATGCAAATTTATCATGCTTACGAGTAAAATGCGAAAAAAGCGCGTACTGCGCTCAGCTTCCATTATGTTTTCGCCAGTGTTTCGACTTCCATTAAGCAATCAGGTAAATTATGATTTCGCTCGCCATACTCGCTTTAATGGTGACTTATTTATTGTCTGTTTTATCGTTATGCGCTTTTATTATGGCCGTATTAGTCGCTACACGATCTGCAGATTAATGTTGGGACCTTATTTCATTTATTTCAGCAATAAATATAGTAATTTGATATCAAAAAATTAAAAATAATAGTTTTTATCAAATAATTTAATTTAAGATTTTATTTTGAAGAGAAAGGATATATAATTGTTTATCATAATTAGTGGCAATACGTTAGTGCATCTATCCATCGTTTGATTTATATCTATGTACGTAAAATAAGGTTTTGTTAGTTACAACATTTATAACTCAAGAACAACTGAACAGATTGTGATGATCTATAGTTTATTGGATTCGTTTCCGCCACGAATAGCAGAATAACCATTAAAATATTAAAAATTATGACTCAAAGGGTGTTAACTAGGGGATGAAAATTGATATAGAGATTCAATCATAGTTACATATTTAATATTTACAATTTAAAATAATATTGAGCATTTTATCGATAGAATCGACACATACAACGTCCAAAACACAAAAACACATTTTTGCTAAAAACTACGCAATTTCCTGCATGAAAAAGTATTAAAGTAATAATACTATTTGAAACAGACGAATATGTAGCTTTCCATTTGCATAATACCATTGTACGCTGCATTCGAAAGTTCGTTTTCAGTTCCGCAACGTATATTCCAGACAACCACCCCTTAATTTACCCCTAAACCCTCATCGTCATCGCAACAGACCGACCCTAACCATCGGTCACACACCGATAGTGTTAAAAGGCTTAATATTATCACTATCCAGCCAGGGGTTAAATTTTAAATTGAACTCCCCGTCTATTACGGGAAATGAAAAGAAGTGAAAGCAAAAAAACGCAAACCGAAGATCAATAATTGCCGGTACAAAACTTACACCCCCATTGGGATTAGGGGGAAGTCCCGTAACGCCGGACGGCACCTAGCACCGGACACTCGTACTATTTAAGCTAGTTTAAATCTTTTCATTTCAAAAAACAAGTGAAAGGGGTGCGGGGAGCACACAGGTACAGGATCACTCGTCGTGGCTCGCCAGAAACGCACACGGCCACGGCGGGAGCAGCCGTTTGCTGTTTCAGGCGCAAAATCACGACGTCACCTAAATATCAATGTAAGTAATTCTAGTATATTTATGCATTTACATTTGAGTGGTATTCAAAGATACAAGTAGTACTTGATTGTTATCCGTAAAATGGTAGAATATTATTAGATTTTTTAAACAATTTTAGTAGGTACCACCAAATGAACGAAAATGTCTGTCCCTTAGCACCGGACACTAAGTTGTCCCTTAGCGCCGGACAGTAAACATATTGATATTTCTTGTGAGAGAGAGAGAGAGTGAGGAGATGGCTATGTTGCAGTCAATGCATACATTTAGTAAATGTATACATTTACTAGTCAATGCATACATTCGCTAAAATTCGTAGTTAAAGTATTTATTGTAACTGAAATGAACACATTAGCTAGTGGATGTATGCATTCACGGGCTGCTTCTAGTCAGTGTGTTATATCCGTTGATTAAATCGTTAAATTCTATCACCCCACCCCCCACCGCCCCATAAATAATACCAAACAAGGTAGCCTACCTAACCATATGACATATTTGAAATGTCCGGTGAGAGGGGTATGGCACAAATATGTGTCCGGTACTAGGTGCCACTTTTTAAAACTATACTTTTTATTACCAAAGTTTGATTGATAGTATTAATTATTTTTTAACAGAGGTTGCATTTTTGTTATTTTAATTTGATTTCTAACTTTGTTATCTACTATATGTCATA